CATGAGGAAGAAGGGCTCTTCCAAAAGAGGAGGTTTTTCTGCAATTTGGCACAGCATAGAGGGGCCAAATTTTGGAAAAGTCTCTTCTGAAAAAACAATCGGAAAAAGGTACACAAATTGCGGAGTGCAAGTTGCATACATTTTTCTGAAAAAAAAGGATCAGTCTAGAGACAGTCTGAGATGAAGGAGGGCCACTTACTAGTCTAGGTTGCCCCTCACTGCCTTAGATGATGTGGGGAAATCACAGTGAAACTTAGAGGGCAGAGTGAGCCCATCCGTTGTCTAGACCAGGATCTCCTCTTTTTTCTCTCAGGTCAGTGTCTTGGCGTTCCCAAGTTCCTTCCGAGCAGTGCTACTTAGACCAGAGCTGGAAGAGGAGAGTATCAGGAACTTTGGCAGAGACTGCTTCAGCCAATGAGGTTTGTGGTTTAATATTTCAGGGGGTCAGAGCAGAAGCTGCTTTTGCAACCTTAAATCCCATGGATGTGCCCAGTACTCTGAGGAATGAATGGTTTAAAAAGAAATCTCAATTGTAAAAGAGTACAAAGGCCCAAGTGAACGTCTGTACAAAACAAGTTTTTATTTCAGCTGGTGGAAAACCCATGACAATTATTAATCTGCCCTGACAAGTGAAAAAGCATTTTCATACCTGACAGAGATGATAAATGGAGGAAATATCAGCTATACGTTTTAAAATCAATGCAGAATATTTAGCAGTAATCTGAAGCAAGCTCTGTACAACAAATGGTAGTCAACTGAAAACAACTGGAAATAAGTGCTGAAATGATGAGCAGATGGTGCTGACTCTATTCATAGGCCCCAATCCTGTAGAGACTTAGGCACATGCTTAATTTTAGGACTACTCCGAGCGTGAAAGGGTAAACACTGGCATAAATCTGCATCAGTTGCTAACTCTTCAGTTGCTAAATATTCTACATAGGTGCAGGAATGTGCTTGCATAGAACATCTTGTGGGTCTGGGCCCTATCGCTTCAGTTTTAGTATGTTCATCTAGAGTTCCAAATTGGGGCAGATTTTTAGAGGGTCTTTCAAAATACTCTGTCGATTTTCATAAGTGCAATTACTAACAAAAGACACCTCGGTTTGCTTGCACAACAAGGAGCTGCTTTGAAAGAAAAGGATTTGTTTGGGGTGGTTTTTTGAAGAGGTGGAGGAGGAATTTAAAATTTGTATCAAATGTTTTAAAATGTCAAGACCAGGTGTAGAGTTTGCTGAAAACCAGAGAAGTGGTATGGCACTTTAGAGCATAAGGTGCCACAGGACTCCTCATCATTTTTGCAGATACCGCCTAACTACCCCCCTGAGACTGAAAAACAGAGGGGTTTTTTAAAATATATTCTGAATAATTTCTTCCTTCAAATTTTCAGAAGTCCAAATTCAAACAGTTTCAACCAGATCTGTGTTTTGTGTGGACAGTTGTGTACTTGCAAATTCTGTCCAGAAAATTTCCAGTGAAGAACACAGACCAGACCCTTCTCTTTAGAGAGGGGCTGAGAAACCCTGAAGATGGGCAAGGCTGTAAGGATTCAAACTTGTATCTGAAGCTAGGGCTGATATGATGCCTATTGAAGTCAATGGGAATTTTCCCATTAACTTGAGTGTGTTTTGTTCTGGTGGGGGGAGCGCAGTCTCCTTTTGGTTTCATCAATCTCATTTCAAAAGTATGGATCTAAAATCCCTGAGTTTTCTTTTTGAGAAGAAGGGGTATTTTAAATTTCAGATTTGTATACTAATTAGTATAATTTGTATACTAATGAAAACATGTATATGACACATACTCAAGAAGTTGTCACATGTAAAATAGTGGAATCCCCCTACAACCACCTCAGTGGATATCAACAAACTGCTCTAAATCAAAAGTATAGAGGCAAAATGAGTGTAGGGATTGGAACCTTTTAATTATTCTCCAGGCATCAGCAATGTGGCAGAATTGTACATAATGACCTTTGTATTGCATAAACTTAAAAAACAACAAACAGTCTTGCAGCACCTCAGGGTATGTCTACACTCCCCCGCTAGTTCGAACTAGCGGGGTAATGTATGCATACCGCACTTGCTAATGAAGCCCGGGAAATTCAAATCCCGGGCTTCATTAGCATAAGCGGGGAGCCGCCATTTTTAAATCCCCGCTGCTTCGAACCCCGTGTAGCGCGGCTACACGGGGCTCGAACTAGGTAGTTCGGACTAGGGTGCCTATTCCGAACTACCTAGTTCGAGCCCCGTGTAGCCGCGCTACACGGGGTTCGAAGCAGCGGGGATTTAAAAATGGCGGCTCCCCGCTTATGCTAATGAAGCCCGGGAAATTCAAATCCCGGGCTTCATTAGCAAGTGCGGTATGCATACATTACCCCGCTAGTTCGAACTAGCGGGGTAGTGTAGACATACCCTCAGAGACTAACAAAACATGTAGATGGTATCATGAGCTTTCGTGGCCACTTCTTCGTTGTTTTGTTTTTCCAGTTATAGTGGCGAGGAGTCCTGTGGCACCTTATAGACTAACTGAAGTGTAGGAGCATACGATTTCGAGGGCAAAGACCCACTTCATCAGATGCATGTCATGCAAGTTAGTCTATAAGGTGCCACAGGACTCCTCGCCGCTTTTGCAGATTCAGACTAACACGGCTACCCCTCTGATACTTTCCAGTTATAGACTCACTTGGCTACCCCTCTGAAGTCATTGTATTGCATGTCTGTCAGTTTCAGCATCAGCCATATTAATGACTGTAAAGGAGCCAGCTCTGAATCCTGTACTCGTTAACAATTAGATTCCCTCTTGTTCCGTAGTCATTTCAGAAAATTGGGGGATCAATTTCATTTAGAAATAAAGATTGCTATTTAGAAAATTCTTAATATAGTTAATGTTGCTCACCGTTCCTTGGGGACTAAGTGTAAAGTCATATGAAATATATTCTATATATACTCTCTGAGTTGAAATCAATTCAGTTTATCTAAAAAAATAAAATTACTAGAGTTGCAGTAGACCACAGTCAGGAATGAGGTGCCACAGTGTGCAATCTCTCTTTCTGTCCTTGCCCCAGAAACTTTGCAATTATTACTTAAGATAGGTGAGTATGGGTCTGTCTAGACTATTTGACTGTACCCTATTTTTTCTGCTATCATCTTCTAGGCCACAGTGTGGCAGGGACTATGATGTACTTAATGGCAAGAACATAATGTAGGAATGAGAACTCCGGAGCTGAAATCCTGGACCCATTAAAGTCAATAGCAAAGCTCCTATTGTCTTCAATGAGGTCAGGATTTCACCCCTGGTTTCTAATTCTAGCAATAACAAGGTTTTACTGTGCCTTCTTGAGCAAATCGCTCTTTGACTTGATTTTCCCATCTCTAAACTGAGTGTGGTACCTAGCACAATGGGCTGTCATGAAGCACTTTATGATCTTTAAGTTCCCTAGGATAGCAATAAATTGTCTTTTGGTTTTAAACTGGTATATTTTTAAGGCATTTTCTAATATATTTCACTTTTCTAGTTTCTGGGTTGGAGTATTTTTTAATGTTTTGTTTTTATTAAAAAAAGCCTGGCTTTTCATTTGTTTTTATTTTCCCTTTTCCATGGGACTTTTTTGAAAATCAATTTTAAAGCAATATTCATCATTAGGGATGAATGTCAGAAATGCTACCATTTCTCTTCCCCTGCTGCCTGTGACTAATATGGAAATTTCACCTGCCGAATCCTTCAGGGTTCACTTTACTTTAATGTTCCACTTTATGAGGCTATCATGCATCAAAAATCTATACTCTGAAACATTCATGTCCAGACAAAATATTTCAGATTCAGAATACATTTGTGGTTTAGGAGGCAGAGTATAGTGCTGAAATAAGATAGCTACAAGAAGTGCTGTTCTCTCTGCTTTCCCCAGAAAACATAAACACCCAAACGCAAGTGAAAACATCAGACTATTAAAACTGAGAGAACACTTTAATAAGCAATGGAAGTCTGCCATCCCACCCTCTCTCCAAATCTTAGCCCAGAAACAGTACTCTCATGTGTATAAAATCACAAGATTTAATTCAGTATCTCTGGTGTCACATAGGGTACGTCTACACAGCGCCATTATTTTGAAATAACAAAAAGTGCATCTCCACAGTAAACCATTACTTTGAAATAATATCGAGATGAAGGACTTCTTGCTCCAACTGCTGTTACCCTCATTTCACAAGGAGTAAGGGAAGTCGAAGGAAGAGTGTTCTTCCTTTGACTTCCTGCTGTGTAGATAACGCCAAAAGCTGGATTAAGCTATTTCTACTTCAGCTATGCAATTGATGTAGCTAAAGTTACGTATCTTAATTCAGCTTTTGCCCTGCTGTGTAGATGTACCCTTAGTGCCTCTGTATTCTTCACACAACATATCTACTTACAACAAAAAACCACCCTAGAAATTCTCTCTAATTTACTACATGTCCAGTGTTTATACTTCAGAATACAAATATTAAACCCAAAGTTGCTAATGCATTTAATTATTGCAGCAGAATGCAGGAGATTTTTAGAAAGTACTGAACAGATTTAGGAACATGGCTTTCACCTCGGCTACGTCTATACTGGCATGATTTTCCGAAAATGCTTTTAACGGAAAACTTTTACGTTAAAAGCATTTTCGGAAAAGCACGTCTAGATTGGCAGGATGCTTTTCCGCAAAAGCACTTTTTGCGGAAAAATCTAGACGCGGTTTTCCGCAAAAAAGCCCCGATCGCCATTTTTGCGATCGGGGCTTTTTTGCGGAAAACAGTACTGTGCTGTCTACACTGGCCCTTTTGCGCAAAAGTCTTTCGGAAAAAGACTTTTGCCCAAATGGAAGCAGCATAGTATTTCTGGAAAAGCCCTGACGATCTTACATGAGATCGTCAGTGCTTTTCCGGAAATTCAAGCGGCCAGTGTAGACAGCTGGCAAGTTTTTCTGCAAAAGCAGATGATTTTGTGGAAAAACTTGCCAGTCTAGACACAGCCCTCCAGTGAACCTCAATTACTTAGACTCTTATGAAAACCAACTTCTTCATCTGTGCCAAAACTTTAAAAGGCAACAGGTGGCCAAATGTCAGGTGTTGGTGCCTATTAATGAACTGGGAATTGGACAATGTGGATTTTTTTTAAGCAGGGAAGATCGTGGGACGGCTAGAACTCCTGACTGCTGCAGCCAGTCTAGAGAGAGATGGGGCAGACCAACACTAGTAATGGTCAGCAATGCGCCCTGTAAGATAAGCGCTTGGGCAGCCACACTGGAGAGATTCATGTGCTGCCCAGCTGATTAGCAGAGCATCCATAGCCGGCTGGATGTGTTTCTACTTGTGGTGCACATCTGCACATATCTTGGTCACATAACAAAATTTATTCTTCACACGAATGGAAAACTTAGAAGGAACATTGATGGTTAGCATCAGATGCA